GGATATATCCAGGATGTCAAACTGACTCAGCAGCTGGATGGGCAGCAATCTCCAGAATAAGTCAAACAATGTCAATCTGCACACAATGTGATGACACACAGCTGGTTGAATATCAGCAAAGTTTCCCTGCTTCCCTTCACTGGTTCCTGTACAGCAGGGTAAGACTTTAATTCAATGTTATAATCATAAAAAAGCAAAAGCAGCATGTGTATACATTCAGTAGGCTATATCTTCAGTAGCTTGCTAGCTAACCCTACACTTTTCCAACCTCTCCAGGTATCGAGTATCATTAATACACGACGTGCCCCAGGCACAACATTTAGCTCCAAGTCCATAAAACCAGCCTGAAAATGAAAGAAATCTGAAACGATTGCATTAGAGTCCTTGGAGCACAGCTGTGTTGTTGTCGGACCCTGGTCTGAGCCGGCCCAATGGTATGTTATGATAGGTCCGAAAAAGGTGTTTAATGCAGTTTGTTGTTCATGAAACATTTGATTCTGATTCAGAATACTTTATTGATCCCTGGGGGGACACTGGGAGACATTACAGTTGCTCTAGTATTGTATTGTTTTTAACATTTCAAAACCTGCATTGTTTGCATTCATGTTTGCTAAATAGAAGTCTTTGTCTTTCCTGCTTTTTGCTTTTGCATCTCCATGTATTGTGTTGTTACCACCACCAACTGTTGATCTATGAGATCGTGTTAAATCATTGGCTGTGTGTGTCATATCACCACATGCCCAAACCAAATGGCACCAAACAATTGATGGTTGTCAAAATCTCCCCAGGGTACTTTTATGTACTATAAAACTAGACATGCAAAGGGAAAGACCGTGTAGAGCAGCTGCCTTATTTAGCAATAAATTCAGCTCGACTCTCACTTAGTAACGCGGACTGATGAATGTGTTTTTGTCGTGTGAAGTTTACATAAAAGTTTAAGGCATCGTGTTTGTTAACATACATAGTAAGGAGTCTGCTGACAGCTAACAAGAAGCAGAGCGAGGTTTCATTACTGGCGATGACACAGTGAGAACATGGCCCACACACACACACACACACACAGATACACACAAATCCTTGATCTTACAGCAGACAGATGCTGCAGCCCACCATCACCATGCTGTGTGGTTACAGATACAGTGCAGTAACAGATGACTGCGGAACACAACACAGACACACTCACACAAATACACAGGAAAAGTGAGAAAAAGCAGCACTTAATATGCTGTGTGTGTGTGTGTGTGTGTGTGTCGGGGGGGGGGGGGGGGGGGGGGGGGGGGGGGGGGGGGGGGGGGGGGGGGGGGGGGGGTCTTATAAGCTTATAATTGGTATGGCAGAAAGTGTTCAGCATCAGAAAACAGTGAGAAAAAAATCCAGGGACTCTGCCAGATTAAGTTTGCGTGCACAAGTGTGTGTGTGCATATAAGCTTTTCCATTTAGCATTACTCTGCAGACACTCTGCACATGCGTTACAGCACATCTTACTAAGCAGAATTCTGATGACAGTGCAATGCTCAGAAGTCCTCTTATGCACTCCCATTACACCACTCTCATAGATGAATGAAGCAACCAAACACACACACTCTCACACACACACACTCACAGAGGAGTAGCACGGCTCTGTGCTGGAAGTTTCACTCCCCTCCAGTTAGGAAGAGGCTCTTTATCACTTCTCTCTTGGTCCTCCCTCCCTTGCACCAGGCCTGATTAATGGCTAAAACTGTTAACAAATCAGTCTGGCACTCTTCTCTCGACAGATTTATAGAAACTCTCTGGATATTTTGTGAATCCAAACCGGCCACGGTGGTCAACTATAACTGACTGACATCGGCGTCCGGAGGTTACAACAATTTATTTCTCTATAACATCGTATCAGTACGAAATGAATAGGCTGATGGATGGAAAGTTTGGAGACTAAATATCAGCCTGTGTCTGGTCAGATTTTGACACACCTGGGAGGGATGTGACAGCTCAACATCTACCTCCACTAGCATGGATGTTAACAGAGATGGAAAGAGTGCCAAACAGTATCTTTAAGCCCACATTCCTAAAGTGCAGTTGATAACATTTCATCAGGAAACACTCCGTTACAGTGGAGAGCACTACTTCCTCTTTAGGACTCTCCAGACTTCTAAAGTGCATCTGGGCTGCAGCATCATGAGCTGCATTACCATACTGCTGGAATGAAATAAGTCTATATCTCTACCACGGGACCAAACCGATAATGTGTTTGTGAATGTAACCAATGTTTTGGAGCAACGCTCTCACTAGACAGCTTGCTCTAGGAGTTTGGTGGCAGTGTGCATGTGCTCTGTGCCACAACCACTGGAATGTATGACATACATGATCACAGAAGGGACAAACAACAACAGTGCATCATTGCTACAGAAATCCACTGTTTGGAGGAGGAGGGGTCCAAGTAAACAAGGAGAGAGACATTTGTTTCATGGAACAATTTTGACCACTGCTCAACAGGAAATAATGTGCTGTCAAAATACAGACCAAAAGAAACAGTCAGATTGCAGTTTGTTTGCTCCTGCATGTGATAATCATTAAAAATGTGTAAGAACAAAGCAGTTTTTCCACATATCACATGAATGACAATAACATGTATTCCAGAGGGATGATGTTCCAATATATCACACTAAAACTAAACGCCAGTATGTACAGAAATTAAGTGGCGTCATAGGTTGACATAGATTGAAGTGTTAACCACCTGACAATAGACAATACATTCATCACACTGCTGCCAGCCTTTGGCAGTCAACTAATTTCCTAGCAACGACATCAATCTGTAGCTGTTGGCATGGTGCAGGAGTAGTTTGAATTACTCACTGAGTATTAAGAGCCTTTAAATGGCAAAAATCAGTGATGCATTTCATACAGTGACATCGATCAAATATATTTTTAATTATTAATGACAGAAGACAGATTTTTGATATCATTATACAGTAATTCTCTGTGTACATTATATAACTATTTAGATACCTTCATTTATTATGAGACTAATCGCAATTAATGGTGAAAAATACACTTGTTTACTTTCTTGCCAAGAGTTAGATGAGAAGATCGATACCACCCTGTACCACTCTGTCTCCGCTGGTTGCCTGGCAACTTCATGGCGATGACAAGACTCCAGGAAGTCACAACTCCCAGCCAAGAGGTCTGGCACATAACCGCTCATAAAACAACAACTTGTTGTTTCTTCACTTTAGTTCTTGCACAGATTAAACAAACAGGATGCAGCAAGTTAACTGGTGAGCCTTAGATGTGGTGGTGCGCAGAATTTATCACCTTTGGAAAGAGCCAGGCTAGCTGTCTCCCCTGTTTCCAGTCTTTATGCTAAGCTAAGCTATTCAAGAGCTGGTTTTAGCTACATACTGACCATACAGACATGACAGTGATATTGGCCTTCTCATTTAACTTGGCAAAAAAGTCAATAAACTAGATTTTCTAAAATGTTGAACTATTCCTTTAAAGACACAATACTTGAGTATAATACAAATCAGTCCCACTGAGAGTCCCTACAGTAATACTGGTACCACTGTTATGAATAGAGTGCTCCAGGGTTGACGTTTTTCTGTAGGCTCACGGAGAAGTTAGCGCCACCTTGGATTTTTCCACTGGGATTGGGATCAATCCAGAAAATAAGCTCTGTGGCAAGCAAACGTTTATGATACCTACACTCTTTCTTCAACAAGATAATCTTCACAAATAAACACCACTTTTATGATTATTGAAGCCTAAATGCAATCGCAAAAAGCAAAAAGATAACGTTAAGCTGTACACAGACTACACCATGGTTGCCAGGTTTAGCATGATGATGCTCTGTAGTCTCATCTAGCCACATGTTAGTAACCGCCTTTTTTAAGACACATAGACGGTGCTTCAAAGTTCAAGAGGGGAGTGTTTACTGACGTATTTTATGTCACAGAACAAACCGTGAAAGTCTTAAGTCTTAAGCTTGCATTAACCATAGACCTTACTTCAAGCATCTAACCAAAAACCTATTGACCGGAGAAAAGAGAAGCAGGAGTGCAGAAATGCTCACTCATTTCCAGGTTTTAGGACTGGGAGCCGCTATGGTAAACATTGGGTCTCAAATGCAGAGAAGAAGTTAAAAAAAGACAACAGCGAGTTAGATTTTGCAGGGAGCTCCGATTAGAGTTAGACCAATAAATCATCTAGGCTTATCATATCGGCTGATATCATATCAGTTTATTGCAGACACATTGGTATCAGTGGATATGTTGGGCGATAACAAGAAACTCTGTACAGAAATGCCAAACCAGCTCTGAGGTCATTTAGAGGCAGTGTCACAGTTACACAGTTTGTTCACCAGAGAGCACTGACAAGTTTGTTTGTTTTTTCAAATATGTGACGCTCATGTACCTGATCACAATTCTTTAAAAAATATGGATTAAAAAATCTGAGAGATCATATCAAGATCATTGGTTTATGTTGTGTGTAAAAAATATTGTTATCATGTTTTGCACATTAGCTAAACATCTATTGGTCTTACATATCAATTTAATCATATTCAACATTTGGCTTGCAGTCATATCAGATTCAAATACATTTTTATCATAATTTTTTTACTTTTTTTTAACAGGTATCTCTTTTCAAAATAATTAATTTTGGTGTTTTCAGTCCTGTATAGTTTTTAATTAATTAGCCTAATCTTTGTAAAACCATATGAGTGTCCTCCATAGTAGCTGCAGAATGCATAGTTTTCATCAGTCCATGAGTCATGATAAACGGATCTGCTGATAAATGTTTAAATATTTACAACAACAGAGGCCAGTGGAGCAGAGCTGGCTCAAATTCTCAATCAATACATCTCAGTTATGATGGTGACTTCATTAAATTCCACATCCTGGAAAACAAGAGTCTGCCACACGTTCAACAGCCTGTGCCACCACGCAAGCACGCGCGCGCGCGCGCGCAAGCACACACACACACACACACACACACACACACACACACTAAAGCCCTCTTACCATCTCCATCTTCAATTTCCTGATCTTTTCATCCAAACTCTTCTTCCCCGTCTCCTTGCTGGTGTCGTGCGCCGTGGCCAGCTTGGCGTCTCCCCGGAGAGAGGAAGCCTCTTCCCGCATCCACCTGAGCAAACCCTCGGGGGTCTTCCGGCCAATTTTCACCTCTATGTCTTTCAGATCTGGGATGGTCTCGCTGGCAGTGCCTTCGTCCATCGTGTTGGTGTGTTTAAACCGAAAAGATCCGCGAGATTACGTCCTTGGAAATTGTTGCCTGTCAAGCTGTGAGAGTCACTTCCTATAGGATTGTATGGCATCCTATGCGCCTCCAGCTGAGAGTGACTGCGCCAGGAGAGAGCAACAACCTGACAGCATCAACACAACATCAACGTGCACAATAATGCTCACAGATACTCTTCATTTAGCTGCATTGCCATCTGCTGTCAAACTGATCCAGCCCTTAGAGACAAACTGATGATCATCAAGTGAAAGCAGAAAAACAAATATCTAATTTTCTGTTTATCTCCCGTGTGTTGTTGGTTCCTCCACAGCGGCAGAGAGAGTCTGATCCCAGGAGTCCAGTGTCCGGGGTATGAGCGCTGCAGGACGGCGGTGTGTCTTGCTGGAGATCCCTACGCTGAGCTACATTGCGCAGATTCCACCTGCATGATGACAGCGACCAGCAGCCGCAGAGTGGGAGAGGAGAGGAGACCCCAGACTGACAAGTCAGCTGCTGTGACATCATACAGCTTCCGGTAAGACTTTCAAAATAAAACTTCAGGAACACGTTGGAGTAATGTGAACTACCAAAATAAAATAGCAACTCTAGCAACCCTAACCCTAACCCTGTTTCTATAGTAGATATACTTACTATGGTAATGGTTGCAAACAGTTCAGGTATTGCAATGTAAGGTTGCAGAAGTAATGAATACTTATATGTACAGATAGAGATTTCTTTTTGTAGAAGGTGCGTAGAAGTAAAAAGGTGTTTACAGGTATACATGAATAAGGTATATTTACTTACAAATATACAGTGGTGGAATGTAACTAAGTACATTTACTCAAGTAATGTACTTAAGCACAAATTTGAGGTACTTACAGTGGTGGGGGAGGTAGGTCATGTACATAAAAGTAGCAATACCACAGTGGAGAAATATTCTGTTACAAGTAAAAGTCCTGAATTCAAGATTTTAAGTCGCTAAAGTAAAATACGCCTGATTATCATCAAACTAACATCAAACAAGTAAAAGTACTCAAGTGGTTATAAAAATACTAGCCCATATCAGAATAATGTATGTTACAATATTAGATCATAATTATTGATCGATTAAAGTATGTGTCATTTTAATGTTGAAGTTGCTAAAGATGGAGCTAAATGGGGGCGTCAGTGGCTTGGTGGTGGAGCAGGCTCCAGGTTCCAGGTTCGATTCCAGCCTGTGGCCCTTTGCTGCATGTCACTCCCTCTCTTTCTCCCCCTGTCTGTCCTATCAATTAAAGGCCCCCAAAAAAATCTTTTTTTAAAAAAAAGAAAAAAGATGGAGCTAAATGTATTACTTCATAGCTTCATAACACAATAATTTGATTTGTTAATTATACTTCGTATTGATGATCTGAAGCTGTAAAGTAAATGGGGCTGCAACTAACGATGACATCTCATTGTCACTTAATCTGTAGATGATTTTCTTAGTTAATCCATGAGTTGTTGGGTCTATAAAGTTTCAGACAATGGTGAAAAATGTTGATCAGTGTTTCCCAAAGCTCAAGATGACGTCCGCAAATGTCTTATTTTGTTCACAACACAAGATTCAGGTTCAGTTTACTGTCATGGAGGATTAAAGAAACCAGAAAATATTCACCTTTGAGAAGCTGGAATCACAAAATTCTGACTTTTTTTTTTTCTTTTGAAAATTTACTCCAATTACTCATTAATTCATTCATATTCCATAACTGAGTCTCCTGTTAGGGGTCATGGGAGGGCATGAGCCTATCCCAGCTGATTACCAAATTAATTTAACAGTTGACAACTAACTGATTATCTATTAATCGTTGTTGCTCTAGTGAATAAACTGATTAAATAAATGTAGTTGAGTAACAAGTGCAATATTTCCTTCTAAAATGTAGTAAAAGTATGAAGTGGCAGAGAAAGGAATTGCTCAGCTAAAGTCCAACTACCTCAAAATTGTACTTAAGTGTAGTATTTAGGTAGATGTAGGCTATAAAGTCAGGCTAGTTTTTAAATTGTGTTTTAAATTTCCTTGACTCCAGAGGCCGCTATGTAGGGATAGCTGCACATTCACAATGCCAAATGCCCAGAGTGTGGGAAAACATGTTGCACCTTTCCTGATTTTCGCTGTGGTTGGCAGAAGTTAGTATATACTATAAACTGAACCATATATTGTAAACCAAACTGCAGGTAAAAAATAATCAGATTTAATGTGGAGTGGTTCTGTGGGGGGGAAATGGCTAACTGTGAAGAGGGAAAACGCTTTTTTGCTTCCCGTGTGTGTTTTTCAGATGGTAACGTTACCTGGTCAAGAACAGGCAGGATCTCAAGCATCTTCCTAAGATACACAAGATATAAGATACTAGTTGCCAATTTTTTCAGAATCAGAAAACTCTAAGTTGATTTCAGATCATTTCATTGCAAATCTGTTTAGATGCAGCACAGTCCCTGTGGGGTGGGATGGATGAAGAGTCTAATCAGTGTAATAAAGTATGACAGATGTCTGTGTTACTAAAGACTATCACATTACTCTCTTTCACACACACACACACGCACACGCACACGCACACTGTGTCTCTTCATGACAACGTTCTCCCAGGCTGCACAGTCTCAGTCCAGGCAAATGTTTCCTCAACAGGCCTGGACCTCCTCATGTGAAACCATGAGCTCTGTAGCTGCCATAACACATCAGGTTAAAAGCTCACAGTTATGCGACTGGTAGGCTGACGTGTTGCACTGGCAACGGTTTGGGGCAACAGAGATTTAAATGTTGTCAGAAAAGTCAATATGGTGTGAGGTATTTTTTCCCCCCTGACATTTTAATTATAGCTAAGGAGAGAAAGCGTTTTAAAACGTGCCATTAAATCTATATCTGAAGATTGTTTTACACACAAATGCTAAGTAACAAAGACAGATGGCTAACAAGGTCTTTAAACATCCAAGTTTTACTGTGTGAAAAAGACATGAAACAAATCACGAAAAGAACTCCATTAGTCATCATTGTCGGTAAGTTTGCTCTGCTAAGGCTTCCTGAAAATGTCCAGTGCTACCGTATATGTCTATAACACAAAGAGACAGTGCAAAGAGACTTTGACTTGTGTAATCTGCAGTCGGAGAAGGCCTCTGGAGAGCTGAAGAGTTGCTTTTTGCTGCGAACACTCACTCAGGGTGCCAGAGAGAGGCTGACTCAGAATGGAAATACAGTTGTAGTCAACGGTGATGAGGTGGCTTGGAAAGGCAGAGAGAGGAGTTTCAACTATAAGCACTAATTACACGTGCAAGTGGGCCTCAGGAGAGTAAGTGATGAAGGGGGAGCAATAAAAAGAGGGGGAGGAGGAGGGTGGACATGTGCATTAAATAACAATATTTTAAAAGCAGGATTCAGGATCTGAAGTGGATTAGGGCTGTCTCTTTCTGATACGGCAGGAGAGCTGCCGAGACTACCAGAGTGAGGCTCCAGTTTCAGATGGAGAACATACAATATAATTTAAACTTAATCTTAAATCCCTCCATTTTTAATATCGCCTTGGACCAGACAAAATAGTGAAGGTGTATCAAAGGCATTAATAAATGGGGGGAGCTCAGTTTAGAGAGAAGGTATAAAGTCTAGATTAATAAGGCTTTCCTGTGATCCTCTGATCCTTTTGTATTTGGTGTCACATCTCGTGAGGGGCCCCATATTTCCTGGCTATGCTCCTGTCAATGTAAATGTAAAGTCTCTGCAGAGAAGGATTTCAAAGATCTTTGATGTTTGGGTTGCCATCTTTGCTTTTACTCTTTCTGTTCATGATATACCAGGTAACTTTTCCATTCTCATCCCTGACTCTTTGTATATTATTCTTCATCAGTTACACACTCTCCTTTTGCGCCAGGAATTAAGACAGACACCAAAAGTAGGTTACCAAGGGGTTAGTTTGAAAGCTAAAAGGACCTTTATCAGTATTTGGAACACATATCCTAATCCCACTTTACAGGGAGTGTTGCAAAGGCTGCAGGGATTATTAGGGGTCAACATCTTTCCCATAATACCTTTGTTTTGCTACTTGGCATCTGGGATGTAATATCAGCTAAACTGGAGCCTTTTTAAGCAAAATGCTGTTTAAATTCTGTTTTTGGCTGGGAGGGCGCACAGCCACACAAACAAGCATCTGTAATCATTATGTTACCATGCAATCAGCCTGGTATCCACGATGGCCACCATGGCAACGGTTGTCGAGAGGAGAAAATTTTCAGATTTCTGTACACCCACATAGTACAAATGGAAAAGGCTGCCCACGAAGAGGCTGTACTAAATACACATTTATGCAACTCTGCCTAGGTGTATCAGCTCTGTTCATACCCGACTGAGGCATGTGTGTGTGGGTTTGCATGCTCTTTCAATATTTCTGTGGGTTTTGCCCCAGGTGATTCAGTTTCTGACCACATCAAGAACCAGCGTGCTTGGTATTAGAAGTATTTCTTTCATTAACCTGTGGGCAGATGATCTAGTGCTTCCAGCTGTGAACCGTTCGTGCAGACTTCTTCCTTTTCAGACAGGACTGCTGTTTTCCATTGAACTGTTCAAAAAAAAACTGGGCCTCCTCTACCTCTGAGTAACTGTCTGATTAATCTAACATCATCCTGTCCCTGTCCCTCCAAACTGTACCCCCTGTCCAACTCTGGACTGTGATGAACAGCCATCAGATGTTTAAAGTCCCCCTCCTCTCAAAAATGAGTTTTCCTTATTGGTATTTCATGTTGATGTTTGTGCAGAATGATGCATGTGCTGGTTTTGACACGCATTTATCTGCTGTAAAGGGAAAGTTTCCATGTGCTCACCTTAACTATCAGGTTAAGACTAGTACAAATGAACAGGGATTTGTGACATCACAGCTAGTTTGGAAGTCAATCACAGCCCAGTATGCTACTAACACAATGGAAACTTGAAACCTTCAATGTGCACACACGCTAAGAATGGACTTTTCAGTGATGCAGGAGACATTATATCATATCCCATTTCTGCTGATATATTCCCCTTACCCACACTGGACTTTTAATTATTGAACACAAGACAAGTATGTTTTCTTTAGTTTACTGTATAATCACCTGAAAAAAAGAATTGTTGTGTTTTCGTACCTTAGAATGAGCCATTTATATCTACACAGGGAGCAGGTCCTTGTCTACAGAGATCTCCATGCTGTACTGCCATGTTTCTCCAGTAGCCCAGAACGGCCAAACCAAACACTGGCTCTAG